GAACTTAAGAGACTTTACGAAACAAAGGAGTAGCTGAATCAAATGATGGAACACTCCCTAAGCCAAGAAAACAAAAAGAAATGCTACCATGACAACATGAGGAAAAGAAGATGATAATGCATAGCATTGGGCTTAACTGTGACTAACCTCAACATTACCAAGACCGATGGTTAAATTCGTTTTAAGTGGTTAGCCTTTTCTCATATTTTATCTGAGATAAAATGTCTAAGTGTGTAAGTTTAAGGAGTTGGTTTCCTTGCTTTGGATGTCACTTGTTAAAGTTTTCTAATGTTGGTTATATTCTATAATAGACTACTCATAAGGCAGTAGCCGACTACTTTAGACTGTCAAGATTAGTGCCACTGAATATTTGACTACCTATGATAGCCAAGATTGATGCCACTAAGTAGTTGATTACCTATGACAACTGAGCTTGGTGTCACATTAGCCCTGGCTAGTAGTCGGCTAATAAAATGGGGTATGCAACTATCTTTGGTAACTGAGAACTTAAGTGCATCAATTAGTCAACTACTAAAGATAGATTCTCTCTTGTAAGTAATCAACTACTTGAGAATATTAGTTGATTACCTACTCTTGATAAGGTTGAAGTAGTTGACTATTAGCTTGAGCTTGTCGAGTACTTCACAATGGATTTATAATAGCCATGTGCTCTCTAAGCATCATTCCTACTATAAATACATGTGTTTGATATGAAATTTTTAGAGTAGTGCATTGTGCTATAAAGAAAAAGAGTTTATAGAGTGCAATAGCAAGGGAGCAATCTTGAGAGAAGAGATTCAAAATTAAAAAAAGTTTTCATCCTAAGAGAAAAGTTTGCAAAAGTTGTTTATTCTTTATTGATTAACTCCAAGAGTTATTTAATCTCTTATAATGCAATGTCCCATTATTTTTAGTGCTTTCCCTTGCATTTGAATAATTTGTACTATATTTTTTTTTTATGTTTGCCTTTGTAGAAGTTTTGTATTATGATTTTATGATTTTATTTGTTTTTGTATTTGAAGCTAGGTGTTTTGAGATTGAATACCATAATGGTTGGATAGCACTCGAAAAATTTATCTAATTAAAGGTCTTGTTGGCACCCGTGAAGTTCAAATATTGTGAAGGACTTGTTGGCACCTAGGAAGTTCAACTAGTTGTAAGGTTTTTGCTGCCAGCATGAAGTCTAGCTAGTTTAGTAGAAATTCTTAAGTGGTGTACTTGGGGAGAGGATCTATGCCTGGGTTTGGTTGAACCTCCACAAATGTTATTTTTGCTTTTGATTTTCTTGTAGTAATTGTATATTATTGTTACTATTGTATCTTGTCATATAAGTACTTTTCATTATATTGCTCTCTTTATATTTTGTTTAGTACATAAAGTTTTGAAAAGGCACAGGAAAGACTTCTATAACCCAATTCACCCCCTTGGGTTAGACTATTTGGGCTAACATAATGTATAATATTAAAGATGTGGTGATGTTTTCTTTATTTACAAAACTTCTATACTTTTTACACATTTTTTTTTTTGCATTTCATGTATTTTAACAGTTTTATCATTTAATTATGGCATCCATGGTTTAATGCATTTGACCTAGATGGTTGAAGTGGAGACTTGAGATCAAATCCCCTACCATTAGGATTGGGTGGGTTATGGGTATGGGGATGGGCTACCCTTGCTTGTGTAGCCCCATAAACCAAAAAATGGCCATAGATAGTTGAATTGTTGACCCACCACAAGTATAGAAAATCATTTTGTTTTTGGTCAATTTTAAAATTTTGTATTTTATTTCTATCATTATTAAAATCCATTCTTATTTTTCACATTTATTTTTGTTTAATATGATGAATATATAAGATTAGAGATGTGCTCAATTTTTTTACAAAATTTATGTACTTTTTTGTATTTTTATGTTTCTATGTATCAATTAATTTTGACATTATGAATTGACTCATTTGATCCATGCATATGGTTGGACTGTTAACTTGCCACCTAGATAAGAAAATGGTTTCAATTTTAGAGCTTTGAATTTTTATTTCATTTACATCATTAATAAAATAATTATTTTTTATCACTATTTAATACAGATAATATATAACATTAGAGATGTGTTTAGATTTTTTTTTGTATTTTCAATAATTCTTTCTATGTTTTTTATTTTTAAAAATTTTATTTATTTAACTATAACATCATGGGTGGACCCATTGACTCACCACTCACATAAGAAAATAGTTTCATTCCTAAGTCAATTTTAAAGTTTCTATTTCATTTCCATCACTAATAAAAATACTTCTAATTTGTCATACTTATTTTATTTAATATGGTAAATATTTAATATTAGAGATGTATCCAAACTTTCTATAATTTTTTTTTTATGTTTTATCTATAAAATTTTAGTATTTGATTATGGCATCATGGATTAACCTATTTGACCCAAGAAGTTGAGTTACTTACCCATGACTAGGGAAAACAATTTTATTTTAGGTTAGTTTTAAAAATATTTTTTAAATTATTCTCCATGGATTTAATTAGTGTAATTTAATGTTGAGAAAAAAAGATAGTTGCATATAAAATTTAATGAGAGAAAATAGGAGTTAAACATGAGACTTGATAAGAGAGAATAGAATGAAGGGTTCATTTGATTTGCAGGAATAGGAGTGTGAAATCGGAATCATAATGGTCAATTTTGACTTCAATTGTTTGGTTGGGCAGAATCGGAGTCCCATTCTCATTCCTGGTGGAATGGCATTTCCCCATATGAGAGAATAGCCATTCCCTCCCCCTCCCCCTCCCTTGGGATCATTCCGGTGAATTATGATTTTGATTCCAATTTCCGATCAAATTAAATGGGTGAAAGGAATACACCATTCTGATTCCAACTATGAACCAAATGGACCTGAAGTAATATTGAAATTATAATTATTATAATAAAAGGAACTAAATTAAAAAAAGATATATATTTTAATCAATAAAACTCTAAAATCTGTAGGCAACTATTCCCACTTTTATGGTAGTATGAAACTATAGATTAACAAATGATTATTTTTTTTATAAAAAAATATTAATGAAAATTGAGCTACTTGACATCAAGGTTTAAAATTTCAATACGATACGCTTGATACAGAGTATCGTATCTTTGAATGGCCAATACAGRGAATGCGAGGAAATTAGGTATCGTATACCTTTTCCCTTGTATCAGTACCATATTGATACAAAACAATAGTGTATCGACTGTTTCGGTACCGTATCGATCGATACAACCCCAAAACAATATGGGTGGGTGTTAAAAGTTTGAATGAGTGAAAGAAGGCATTTTTCTCCCCAAAAAAGCCTTCTCTCCCTCTCAAATCATTCCAAATCTCTGATATACTTGCCCATATTGCTAGATCTACAAAAAAAAAAAAAAAACAACAACAAAAACACATCAAATGAGAAGATTTGGGAAGATTTTTGAACTTTTGGAAAATATTGCGAAAATAGGTGAAGTTTTCATTTTTTTTTTCATTTAATCTCATCGATTTGTTGTTTCTTTCTTGTTTGAATGGTTGAAAGTGTTCTAAACTTAGATGGTCTACATTTCCCATGTTAAAAATCACAATTTTTTTTGGTTATATGTGTAGATCTATGACTTTTGATGAATAAATCTGGGAAAATAAAAAATAAAGAAAAAATTAAAGAAATGTTTGTTTTTCTTATTTGAATGCAAGGACTTAATATATTAGAAACCAATGAGTGATCTACCATAAGATTTGAAATTTTCTATGTAATATTTATTTTTTTTTGTAATTTTTAGAATTAAAAAATAAATATTAATAATTTAGTTTTTATTATGATTTGTCCATAATGACTTAATGTATTGTAGATCTATGGCGGATCTATCATATCTATAGATCATTTGGCATTTTGACATTTATTCTTTAAATATGTGATTTTTTAAAATTTTGTAATTTTCAGAATTAAAAATAAATATTATTTTCTATTTTTATTATGATTTGTCCATAAAACTATATATATTCTTAATATATGGCTGATCTATCATATCCGTAGATCATGTGACATTTATTATTTAAATATGATTTTTTTTTGTAATTTTCAGAATTAATAATAAATAATAATTAATTACATTTTGTCATGACATAGCTCTAATGACTAAATATATTCTTAATATATGGTTGATCTATCATATCCATAGATCATTTGACATTTATTATTCAAATATGATTTTTTGATTTTTTTTGTAATTTTCAGAATTGATAATAAATAATATTTAATTACATTTTGTTATAATATAGCCCTAAGGGCTGAATATATTCTTAATATATGGCTGATGTATCATATCCAAAGATTATTTGACATTTACTATTCAAATATTATTTTTTTGATTTTTTTTGTAATTTTCAAAATTAATAATAAATAATATTTAATTACATTTTGTTATGACATAGCCCTAAGGACTGAATATATTATTAATATGGCTGATCTATTATATCCATAGATCATTTGACATTTAATTACATTTTGTGTTGAATTATGTTATATGCATTGACTTGAATTATTAAATATTGATGTAATTATGATTTTAATAAACATTGTTTAGATGTTCACATATATTGAGTATGATGCAATTTCTCATAAGTTCTATTAAAATATATTAATTTAATGTTTATATCTTATTAAAGCCTTGTATTTAGTATTATTAGTGTATTTTATTTTATAACGAAGTTTTTATAGTATTCCTAATATATCTTAATTTTTCTCTGATATATATATATATATCTAAAACTATCTCAATGCGTATTTTAAAATTGTCTTCCCATACGTTAAGGCTGTACTTTGAACCTTATGTTTACTTGTGTTAGGGTAGAATTAGCATTAAACCGATTCTCACCCATGCCAGCCTGAGTTGGCCAGGTTGGCCGGACAGGATCGTGTCCGCAAGCTCAATATACTTCAGTAAAGAAGGGTATTTTGGGCATTGTCTCTTTCTGCCTGCAAAACCAAGTTCTCACAGTAGTTGACGGAAAAAGTAGCGTCAGAATTCGGAAATAGGATGGCTCATTTCGCCCCATTCTCGCTTTGGTGCCCAGTCACCCCACTCAATTCCTAAAATACCATAATTAATTTCCTAAAATCCTTGGCTGTCCGTTCCTCTCCTCCTAATCGGCATCGTCGCAATCCATCCCTCTCCTAATCGGTTATCGGAAAGAAAAGTTGTTTTTGCTGTCCGTTCAAGCACTTCGCTTTCTCCTTTGGAATAAAAAACCCTAGTTAGRATTTTAGGGTTTCTGTATTCTTCGCCTATTAGGGTTCACATTCGGGTTTGTTTTTGCTGAGAGGCAGTTTTGTGTGAGATTCTACAATGTATGCTGATCGAGTAGCGGCTGGAACCAAGAGGTCTGTGAAGGAGCGGCTTAACGGGAATATTGGAGATGATTTTGGTCGTAAGAGGCAAACCAATGGCAAGAGGTTTGCTTTATTTCATTGAGAAATCTGATTTTTTTTCTTCTAATTGGGTTTCTTCAATTATTGTTGTCTTTTGCAGTTGAATTTTTCTTGTGTTCAGGCAGTGCTAAAGGCATTCTGTAGTTGAATTTAATATCAGTATACGTTTTCCCTTCCAAACTTTTGCCTTCGCTTGTTTCTTCGTTTATTTTGGTATACTTTTGGTTAGGGTTTTAGGCTTTATCAGATAAGGGTGGGTTTAGCATTGGGGAGCAGAAGCCATATAGTTAGGGTTTAGGTTGTCGTTTGGAGATGATTGTGCTAAAAAGGCAAATTCCCTATCCTTGTTCTTTTACTTTTCCTCCTAGAGAGTTAACTTGGGGGGGGGGTAAAAATGAAGGAACTCGCATTGGTGGATTACTTGGCTTTTACTTTTTTTTTTGCCATGTCCAGTGGTCGTAATGGATATCGGAAATATCAATGCCAAAGGATTGCAAGATGTATAACTCGTTTCTAGATACCAAGAAAAGAAAAGCACATGTCAGTGCCTTGGAGCTATTGGTCATTTGTTCCACATTAGTTGGTTAATGCATTTGAAATTCAAAGGTTTATGCCATAAAAAGTCTAAATGTTTATTAAACTCATTAGCTGTTTCTGTGAGGATTTTATGTATCAATTTATAGTAGTCTTTGGATAAGGTAACATTTCGGTGGTTGCATGATATAGGATTTATTGTATCATTTGATTCTTGTAGTTGTAGTTTGCTGTCAACTGTCCAGTTTTACTTTGTAGTCTGGAAGGATTAACTGCAAGACATGAAAATATTTTGCAAAGGTGTATATCCCCCACATGCAGTCTCTTTTTAGATTCTAGCAGACTAAGGTTGGAGCTCATTAAAGGGGAAAAATGGTTATCTGGTTTGAAATATGGCAGTTTTGTCTCTACCAGAAGTGAAATTACAGCACTTGGGTAGAAGTACCATTGGCTTAGCTATCATCTTAAGAAGCAAGAGAAATTAAATGATTATCTGGTTTGAAATGTGGCTGTTCTGTCTTTACSAGAAGTGAATTTATAGTACTTGGGTAAAACTGTAGAAGTACCATTAACTAAGTTATCATCTTAAGAAATAGGTGGAATTTTGAATCATCATCATCATCATCTAAGCCTTGTTTCAACTATATGAGTTCAGGTTCAGCTAGGAGAAATTTTGAATATGGTCTTTCATGGAATTGATCGCTCTTCTTGCAGAAAAAAATAGGTCACCACTCGCCAATCTTTGATGATATTTTTTCTGTAGAAAAAGGACCGAATTATCCTCTCCTTTTTATAGAACAGGCTGTTCTGATGGAATTAAGTCAATCAAAGCCTCCTCTATGGACTAAGTGTGAGGATCATTGCCTGCCTTCCAGTTGACATTATGGTAGATGCAGGATAAGATTTTATGTAAGAAGGTGCAGGTTTGCTGTTAGCGATGTGGACAGTGGACATTTCAGCGAGCCTAGCGCACATCATAGCTGTTGATCTTTATTTCATAGAATGGCTCTTGCAAGATATCCTTAGGCTCTGACTGGCATTAAAGGAATTCTGAGATAGAGGACTTTTAATGTTTGTTGGAAAAGGTAGTCTAAGGTTTCTTCCCCTCTCCTATCATGGTTGTGCCATTAGGATTGTTTGATGCTTTTCCACCTCTTGATGATGGAGGTTCATTGTTGTTAGTGGAGTCTCTTGTGTTGATTGTTCCTTTTATTCTTTCCTCTCCATGGGTGTTCCCTTTTTTTATTGTTATTTCAATGTTAGTGCTTGTTTAATCCCTTTGACTTTTTGGAGAAGACTTTCTTGTTGTCAAGAAAGGATATAGCTTCGGATGGTCTTTAATTGCACTGTGTTTGATGTTTCAAGTGATGCTGCTTTGGAGGCATGGCCACTCTTCCTTGTTCTTTGCAAAGTGTGAGGATGTCAGCTTCTGAGTAGGGATGAGCATTATTTGGTTAAAACCGAAAAACCGAATCGAAAATTTCGGTTTTGGTTTTTTCGGTTCGGTTATTTTGGTTTTTGGTTAATTTGGTTTGTTTTTTTTTTCTGGTTTTTAAATATTTCGGTTTTGGTTTTTAGAATTAGAAATTTGGTTAACCGAAAAGACCAAATTAACCGAACCTTGCTATATAGCATGTAATGTATAATATATAATATATAACATATTATATTTAACATATAACATATTTATATATATTAATATATAATATAATAAAAATTGATTTCATAATATATGTTATAATATATATTTATATATTTTATATTATGATGTATATAATATATAATATAGTATATATATTTTTGAAATTTGGTTTTAACCGAAAACTGAACTGAAAAATTTGGTTTTCCTCTAATTCAGTTTTGGTTCGGTTTTCATTTTTCTAATTCTGTTTTAAATTTTGGTTTAAACCGAATGCTCACCCCTACTTGTGAGCTTCTGTGAGTGGGTGTTCTGGAGAAATCGGGGCACTGACCTTGGCGCTCTCCTCCTGGAAGTATAGGACGTATTCTCTCATTGTGGTTGAGGTAGATAAGGATGAAACTGTTGTAGTAGGTAGATTTATGGGCAGTGGGTGAGGTGTGGTCACCTTGGAGCTCAAGAATGTTGAGGGAAGGAACTGTGGAAATATAGACTGATGAAGTGCATTGTTTAAATAAATTCTTTCCTTTGAACCAGGTTGTGTCTTATGTGGTTCATCTGTTCATGTGGCTAAATAATTAGGCTTTTTTTCCCTATAGAAAATTTCTGGGGCCAGATTTAGATGGTTGGAGAAGAAGGAAGATGGAAAGAAGTCGTAAGGCCATGGGCCTCACAACTGGTACTTGCAGAGTTGCGGCCAACACTCAGACACTCAAGTTAGCCAATGAACTTCGCCCATTCTAGTTGTTTTGGCCAACTCAAGTGGGGCTTTGGGACTTTCTCTACAATTAAATCAATCAAGGATTTGATAAAGATTGAGAAAATCTGTTAGATTTATTGAGATGAAAATTTCTTTCCTTTGTTAGTAAGCATTTCCTTGTTTAGTTACATTTGGTAGGAAGATATTTATCTTGTAGATCTCAAAGAGACGTTATGTATAAAGACTCTTTGAGAATGAATGAAAGTTGAACTGTTCTTACAATTTTATGGTTTGGTGCTGATTCCAAGCTTATGAATGTGCTGACTCCATCTCTAGGTGGTGGTGCTTAGAGAAACCTAATGGTGCTGACACCATTAGGACCTATCCTTAATTTACTGCAGGCAGTCTGTTCCTTTATTGAATGCTAGTCTATTGAATCACTGTCTTATAACTTCATGTTTGCTTTTGTTATTGTTTTTATGTTCTTACATTTTTTTGAAATCTCCTCAACTCCATTCCTCTTCTTTTCCATTGTTTTCCTTTCTTTTTGTTTTTCTGGAAGGATATTTTTTATCTTTGCAGTATAAAAGAGGGTGAGCTTCCTTAATAAAGATATTACATATGAGAGTCTTTAGATAACTGTAACTACAAGCATGCAATAAACATACTTGCTTTTATTTTCTTCCTTTTGATTGAACATCTCCTCATATACATCCTTCCCCCTACTTTTTGAAATGAAACTTACCTTTTCTAAAAAAACAGGATACAAATAAACTTCATTTAAATAGCAAAATTCTTTTTCCAAATGATCAAGTGCTACTAGGTTCTGAAATTGATGATAATCGAGTCCATCAAAGTCCCTACAGATGCTAGCCCAAAAAATAAGGGGCCTCTCCATCTTCCCTGTCATAGCTTCTTGTGGACAACAACCTTCAGAAATTATGCTGTTCCATTCACACCAAATTGAACCAGCATACTGCCAGTAGTACTAGCTTTGACAAAATAGGTCCCTTGCCAACACCCACTGTATCCAAAAGAGTTGCAGAAAAGTCACCAAATGTTATAAGAAAGATTGCAATGAATCATCTGGTAATGAGCAGATTCTTCAGTTTGACCACAGGCACTCCTGATTATCCAACACCATTCCTTTATTCAGCAGGTGAATCATAGTGAGAATTCTATCCAAAATGGCTGTCCAAATGAAAAGACCTTAAATGGGTTATAAGTGTTTCATATCCACTTATGAGCAATGTCTACATCCCTTGGCTCTGAAAACAGACCTGATCTCTCTGCAGTCCATCATTGTTCTTGAAAATTTAGTTTTGTTTAGACCTGATATATCTCCCTTAGTTAGGATAGTAGTTTGTTGGATTTCCAGTCATGGACTTTCCCTCTTAATCTTGGAAACCAGACAAGCTGACCTGCAACCACATCATAGCAGTCTCTAGTTAGTGTATCACTACCCTGGGCTGTATTGAAGATCTTTGGGTAAGACTGACATAGAGGTCTGGTTCCACTCCATATATCTCTCCAAAAATACACACATCTTTGCATTATTTATTACCAAATTTCTACAATCCCCTTTAAGTAGTACAACAGTGTGGTTTTAATGAGAAGGACATTTTGATTCCTGTTGATAGGTCTCCAGTCATTGAGGTGGAAAAGGGTGTGGTTTTGACTGGAGCAAGTTTTTGAGAAGAACACGGTGTTAGAGCTAGAAAGGATTAATGATAATTATGGTGAGAGGAAGAATATTAAGGTCATTCCTAATGCAATTAGAAGATTTAGGTACAGGAAAAATTACCTAACTGTGCCAATTTCAAATGGTTTTTGCTAGATTGAGGGGAGGCTAGTTGGGGTCAGAATTAACAAGTGGGTAAAGAAGACAAGAAGAGATTTGAAGAGAAAGGCAAAGAGGTTATTTATTCGACTGATGAAGGTCTGAAGTGAATGTGTTTTGTTTTCTGTATTTGGGAAGGGGTCTTTGATGGGTGGATTACTAGATTGGTCTCTGGGAAAGGTGGGAGAAGAGGTAAAGTGAGGGGCTTCAGTTGCATGATTTTGGGTTTTATATGTGGGTGGTTTTAAGAGTTTAATTGGGTTTGATCTATGGTAGATGGCTTTATTGAAAATTAGAGGGGCCTTGGTTGA